CTACTCAGCACACAATAGCACGCTAGGTAGGAAACTACAGATGACACACACAAATCAAGAAGAAATGGGGACAGAGACACAAGCACACAGAGTGGACAGCTGCATGAGACGGTTAGTCTGACTGGACTAGATGTATGAAAACAATTTTAAAAATGTTCACCTCATTCTTGATATTTTCACTTTCAAATTGTGTCTGTTAAAGTCTGAATGTCCCTGGATTCAACACATACACATATACAAACACCCTCACACACATACACAAAGATATTGGTTGTATCGGCCAGCTGCTGGCTCATGCCTTTTAGGCCGTGCTGAATTGAGACAAATGACTCGTCTTATTCTTCCAAGCAGGGATGCAGGGGCGGAGTGGCAGGCAGAGAGTGATGCTCACAGTGGAGCAGGGTGGGCTGGCGGAGGGAGAGGCCAGTGGCTGCAGACGTTACTTCGAGCCAAGTTTCAGACTATCGAAGGCTGATCTTCTCTTACAAAACACAGGGCTTTCCTACTTTGAGGTATGTATAAATAAAACAGAGAGTTCTTACCTCCACCTCAGAAGAGCTCCAGGGATCCAACAGGATAGATTTCACCTTGCTGATCTGAGCAATGTTTCTATGGAGGCCTGAGCAGCTGAGACACACAAACACACCCAGGGTGTAGGATGCCCACTCTGGATCTGCAACACAACATCTCAAGATCTTAAAAAAACTAGACACACTGAACTTTCTTCTAACAGACACTGACAATCAAACCAGTGGTTGACACATTATTACCAACACACAAAACTTTTTACATGAGTTATACATTAAGATTTCTAATCACATATAGTTAATTTGTGCCTGGTGAGAAAGAAAAGAGCAGAAGTAGATACGGATAGAGATCTGACACAAGATTCAAGGCAGGCATGATAGAGGGGTAAGACGAGAGAAGGAGAGAAGGAACACGGAGCGAGATTATGGGGTTGTCAGTCCTTCAAATCCTGGAGGCCTGGATCCTTCTCTCTCGGTCTCTCTGACTAAAATACATTGACAAAGACAATACAAAGTCACTTGTCTTTGCATAAAAAAAAAACTATTTTCCATACAAGAAGCAGGTCACCCAAAGTGCAGTGAGCTCTTCTCCATGACCCAGATTAAACAACTCAGTCCACATCCTCAGTGATCATCAAACCCTCCCCCAGTTTCACAGATGATCAATATTTGGGTCAAGATTATGTCAGTCAAGAGCTAGATCGTATTTAGGTTTGTGTAAGGACAGACTGGGTGTTTCCTTTCCATTTTTCAGCGTGGTGGCAGTAGTGAGTGAGTGAGAGAGAGACAGAGAAGAGACGAGACACGGCACGACTGATGCTCACCTTGAATCATGCCAACAGGATAGTGTTTCATAGATGCTATTTATGCCCAAATTCATAACTCATTCATAGTGGAAATTCTGAGGAATTCATGTACTGTTACTTATGTGTGCAACATGTCACTAACACATAGACCACATTCACACTTTTTTTCATACAATATATGAGTCACTACTACCTCAAAACACCTCTGTGTCCCATAAAACATGCACTGAAATTAAGCACACAAACTGTATCACATTACTTTGTACTTTGTAACATGTCACCCATTTATGTTTCAGCACTCATAACATTTTGACATTTTCTCAAAAAGGTTCAGTTAAAGGTCACTGTTGAAATGTTTCTTTGGAGGGAGATACGTGTGAAAAGAGCATGCAGCATGACAAGCATCAATTTCACAGACTCTCACAATGAATACATGGCTTGTTTTTCCCCTTTTTTTAAATGAGTAATTAGAGACAGGTTAGTTTGTATGACAGTAAGCCGATTCTTTTTAATGCATGTCTTTGAACACAAACAGCACACGCAAGAGTTGCAGCAAATGTGTGAATTGTGTGGCTCCTCTTACACTTAAAAATCTCATTCTCCTAACCATTACTTCTCAATGCAAGGTGAGATCACAGCTGCTGTTGGTGGTTATTTTGTAACTGAGCCAGAGAACAGGGACAGTGTCAAGTAGTTTGTATCAGCAGGCTGCAGCCTTTCAACCGCAGCTATAGAAGAACAAGTGAACGCACGCTGCAAAAAATAGCATGAGAACGAGAGAAAATATTACTTCCTTGTGCATAATCACAAAGCAGCACACATGTAAGACTGTGCATCTGAACATAAGAGACAAGACGCAGATGTGTCGTAAGCCACTCCTATCTTATCTGTATTATGTGGGCCTGTAGCCTGTTGGAGTTTAGACAATCAAACAGTCTAACTTGGCTCGTTTTTTTTTTTTTTCAAGCGAAAGAAAAAAAGCCAAACATTCTCTGGTTTCCACATCTCATTAACATAATTTAAACTAAACTAATAATGTCTTTGTTTGAACAAAACAAGATATGTAAGACGTCACCCTCTGGGCACGGGGGAAGTTGTAGTAGGCATTATTTCACTATTTTAGACATTTATGATTCATCAAAAAATTATTGTCATGGTTAGCTGCAAGTCTGGGAAGTTGTGGTGGACATTTTATTTCACTATTTTAGACATTTATGACTCATCAGAAAAATGATCATCACATTGTTGACTGCAGCTCTAAATATGAGCATCCTTTAAGAAACCTCCAGGGCTGAATGGACTTGAAGAGAGATGATCGAGTAAATGCTCTGATATATTTATCGCAATCCACACCGGAGCTTATATGGTATATATATATATAT